CCTTCATCAACACAGTCTAGCTGGCATAGGCTGGTCTTCCAAGCCAGCAATTATATTAGAAGCAGTCAAGGTGGCCATCCCTTCCCTTGTCGTTGTCTCGGCACTCCCAATGTGAGGAATCAATGCTGCAAATTAAAAGTAAAATAAGAGAATGAAGTATTACAAAATTCGGATACATTCCATGCATAACATAAAATGCATCAATTACTGTAACAGTTACTATATATGTGACACATTTTGCAAACAAAAAGGGTAAAAGTAGAAAGATAAAAAGAGAAAGAGAAACAAAATCTCAAGATTCTTACTGCAGTTGGGAAGCTTTGTCAGCTCATGGTCAGGTGGCAGAGGTTCTGGGGTCATTACATCCAGGCCAGCTGCGCGGATCTGACCAGTCTTCAGGGCCGTGATGAGTGCATCTTGCTTGATCACACCTGTGAAATTTCACAATGTTATAATCAAGCAAAACAATAAAATCATTATTGATCATTAAAAACAATTCAGTTATTAAAATGGAGGTGATAGATTGATATTCTTTTTCATGTTCCTGGAATGAGAGAAAAGATGTTTATCCTTTTCTGTCATACCTCAATACTGGTGAGGTTTTAATTCATATGTCAATACTTATTTGGCAACAGAAATGGACAAAATGTATATTCATGTCCCATATCCATATTTCTGCTGAAATGACAACCAAAAGAATTCTAATCATCATCCTTATATTCATCTTCAATTAATAAATTCATCCATTTCTGGTTAATCACAAAAATGTACCTGCAGTCAATCACCTATTCCTGATGCTGCTGAACTCAAAGGCTCAAGTATCTTAATATCATAAAAATCATTATCATCATCCTCTGAAACTGGCTGAATCACAATGCTTTGGCCACCAACTCTAAGATCTATGGATGGTTGCATGTTATAATAGCATCTGCCTGTCACATTTTCAAAAATCCAGTACTTACAAAAAAACTTTTCTATTCTTATTGAAAATAGTAACAATGCTACCAGAACTTCAAGAGATAAAAATTGTAAAACAAATTAATGCAGTCCCACCAAGTCTGTAACCCTCACCCAAGAATATTTCCCTTCTAGCCACTAACAAATATCAATAATCTTCAGCTGATGTTGCAGGGTGTGGCCCTTATAGCTGTCAATAGATGTACTTAAGATGAAGGCATCAAACTTGTTTTAAAAAATGCTGACTTTTATCAACATAAAAAAAATATATATATCTAAAATTTAACAACCATCTTCTGTTACTACAAATTAGAATTATATGAATACATAGAGATACTTCACACACATGCACAGAGTAAACACAAAGCAAACACACACACAGAAAGCAAACACAGACACACACACACACACACACACACACACACACACACTCTCTCTCTCTCTCTCACTCACTTACTCACTTTCATGTCAGTCATTACTCCTGCCTATTCTCACCTGCTTACATTTTCCCTGACTTGCAGAAAGTGTTTTTTCCTTTTATTGCTATTAGTATTATTGTAATAACAAAACTGATTTCTCTGTTTTACTGACTTTCCTAATTCATTATCAACAGCCCAATATGATAGTGTCTAATATAACCATGTTTTTAATCATTTCTTTGTTTCTGATATCCTTATTGTCATTGTAACTGTGTAGTAGCCAAGGTAATTTAGGTTACTAATGAAATGGTATTACTGTGATCAGGAAAATCCTAAATCTTGTCATACCAATATATGATAAGAACTACATATTACATACAACTTTGCCCGACTAATTTTTTTCTGATCACCTCTTTACTTTATCGTATCTTATGTACCATAAGGTAATTCAGTTAAAAAACATTCAATATAAGTTCTTTTTTTAACAATACCAACACAACTACTTTCTTTGGTCTTCTCTTGCACCAAATGTAAAGCATTATTCATTATCAATCAGTCATATACAATACCTGTAAAAGTTATAACTGGGTTACTTGTAATCAGTACGACCTTGCATAATCTCATACTAAGAAAATCTAAAAAGAAATTGCTCTCTAATTCTGAGCAACCTGATGTCTGTCAGCACCAGACACACAATGCCCATTCTGCTCAAAGCTATCTTGCAACAAACATTTGTAAATATACTAAATGTCAGTATAGAAGAAGTTACAAGACACTCAAGTGTCATACTGGAAGTTGCAAGTATAAAACTAAACTTACTAACTAAAAACCTTATCTAATGAAACAAAACTTGAACATTTAATAATTAACATACACCTTTTAAATCAGTGCATAAAAAGACACATAGACACTAACCTCCACGAGATGTATTGACAATAATGGCAGATTTCTTCATCTTGGAAAATGCTTCCTCATTGAAGATGTCCCTCGTCTGGTCATTTAGAGCACATGTGACAGCGATGAAGTCTGATTCCTTGAGCAAAGTGTCGAACGGCACAAATTCTGCACCCTTTTCTTCCTCTAAAATGAAATGGATTAATTCTAGACTTTACAAGTTAAGTATT